TTTGTATATGTGGAAAGAGCAGTTCTGCAGCAGTGCAATTGGGTCACCAGGGAAACGAACTGCAGGGTCTGTGAAGCCACGTTGCTGAGGGTTTCTTTTTGATTGGCCAAAAAGAAGCCTGTGTAGAGAGTTTGGGGCAGCCTAATCAGAAAGAAGATGAGCGTGTCTTAAAAAAGGACACAGGACCCACAGGAGGACAGATATCTCCGACAGAATACAGGCAATGAGTTGAGGTCGTGATGGAATATGCTCCTTCGCAGTGACTGGTTGAAGCTCTAGCTTCACAGCAATCCCGCTGAAGTTGTCCTGGGATAATGACCAGGGCAGAAGCAAAAATATGTTTACTTCTATAGTATACTCTTAGTTTCTCCATTCTGATAATCTCCATTCAGATAATCCCACCCTCTGCTCCCGGCCTCAACGCTTCCAAGTTTGTATGTGGCATCTGACTATGATCACCCACTTCCTGTGAAATGATAAACAAAGTTGAGTGTGAATACCGCTGGGCTGAGATAATTAGCGCTGGTCCAGATAACTGCTCCTTGCTGCTACAGCTGACCTCTGGTCCTAAACCCTTGCCTGCTTAGACCTGTCCTAGCTTCCAGACTCTTCCCACTGTTACCAACCAGAGTTCTTGGCCTTCCCCAATCAGTAGAGGGGAAGACAATTTCCTGTCTCTAGAGGCCAGACAAGAAATTTAGGTGAGGCTTTATTGGGGCCCCTGCTGCAGCACGGGGGAGCGAGAACAAACAACAGGTTCCATTGCTTGCTCACTCCCCGCTCCCCGAGGGGGGTGAACTTGTTCTTTATAGGGGGTGAAGATAGGGATTGTCCAGGGGTTGGGCCGGAGGCGTAGCTTAGGTGGTTTGCCCACCTCTTAGGTGGTGCTGCACACAGGGGCCATGCTCAGTACCCTGCTTTTGCTCCCAACACGCCTGTTTTTGCTCCAGGCTCTTAGAAAGTGGCAGCTGGATTTTTTGGTCTCTTTGTATATTTTGGGTCCAGAATTTGCCCCACCTGCTCATGCATGCAGTTATTTTTAGTCCCATATATTTTCTTTATGTTTTGTTGCTCAAGGAGAGGTGTGTCCAGGTGCAAGCATGGCGGCACTGCAGCAAATGGTCCGAGGTCCCAGCCTGTCTCACCACCACAATACATACATGCGCTGATATTACATAAGGAAAGTCAAAGTTACACTGTATTGCCAACCACAGACGTTTAGGAAGACAAATGACTTGAACCCTAGTTTATAGTTGTTTTACTCTTATTCCTTTTATTTGTTTATTAAGCTTTTTTTTTTTAGGAAAAACCACTCCCAATTTATAGATAAACCCACAGTTAGCAAAGACAGCTTTGACACCTTTCTTCCCCTCTCAAGGCAACTACTGCTGCCATGGAAATCATTGGGTAGGAGGGGGATGGAAAAACAAATGCTGGTGCTTAGAGGCTCTGCAGCATCAGGAGTGGAGGAATGAAATCAACTGCGGAAACCCAGCAATATTTTAGGGGACTTGACTAGAGGAAAGATTCCCAAAGAGGACTAGCCTATTTGTAAGGTGACCGCCCTGACCCAGTGATCTCCTACCCTAACAGGAAATTTTCCTTTTGATGTGCTTGGCTGCCTCAAGGCAAAGATTAATTTGGATAACAAGCATCTTCTTTTAACAATGTTTATAACTCTGAACTGGTTAGAGGTCTACTAGCCATTGATACATGAGCAGGACTGAGTTCATTTCAAAGCTTCCAACGGATCCCTTGCAGACGTCAGCTACTCTGAATAAACAAGAGCCTGGGTTGAAAGGTAGAAAGTAGCGCTGAAAACAGAGGTGAAAACTGAGAAAAGTACATTTGGTAACAGTGGCTGTTCTAGTACCTACTTGGCATCCATCCTTCCAAGGAGTTCAGTGTTTCAGTTTGTTCATGTAGTCAAAGGAGGCCCCATGGAAGCCCCTTGACTCTAATTTGTAGAGGGGGCGCCACTGAACCCCCAAGTCAGACAAGACACAATGGAGGCACCCAGACTATACTTCTACCTTTCGGCAATTTCAAAAAGTTCCTTTAGTCGGCCAGAAAGAAGGCTTCAGCCCTTTCCTCTGTCACCTGAATTAGGTTAAGAATATATTTCTAACTCTCTAACCCAGTCCCCCCACCATGTCCATGATTAAGCCTGGTATTTCAGAATGTCTTGGGTGGAACTGAAGACCAGCCACTTCCCACCATCATGAAGGCCCCTTGCAGAGAGTTTTCTTCTCATTTTAAAACGTTTTAACATTTAAGACTAGAAATAAAGTCAAATGTATGTACTTCATCAAACTTCATAGTGATAGATCAGTTTAAATTTACTAAAAGTTGACTACAAGATGGAATGATTTAAAGGACAACTTAAAGGGAATAAAAATGAATTCCTGGGACTTCCCTGGTGGTCCAGTGGTTAAGAATCCGCCTTCCAATGCAGGAGACGTGGGTTCAGTCCCTGATCAGGGAACTAAGACCCCATGTGCCTCGGGGCAACTAAGCCCGCGCACCACAGCTAGAGAGAAGCGCGAGCGCCGCAAGGAAAAGCCCGCATGCCACAACTAAGACCCGACACAGCCAAATAAATATTTATTTGCATTTTCAGCTGGGCCCCTGGGCACCCTGAAGAAAGACAGTATTTTTCAGCTTCTGGTGTGATCATCCGACTGATTTCTGGCCATATAATGTGGGCAACTCCTCATTGATGCTCTTAAAAGGTAACATTTCCCCCCATTTCCACCCTCCCACGGGCTAGAAGTGGACCTAATGGGGGACACTTTGGACTGCGGGGGTGAGGGGAACATCCTATGAATGTCAGAGCAAAAACTAAGAGCCTGGCTTTATGGAACAGAACCTCAATACCAGCTGAGACTAACACAATAGAGAATTCATCTTCTATCTGGTTTAAGTCACTGTTATCTAGATCCCATGGGACCAAACCTATATCCTCACCAATGTTACCCGGTCCTCCTCCCCAGTCCTCCCAAACATCCACCTTCAGGACTTTCTACTGCGATTCGAATAATTTCTCCTCTTGTTCTTCAGTGAAAGGAGTTGTTGTCTGCTTCTTACCAACAATTAGTATCAAATAGAGAATATATCCTATATTAAAGTAACTTCTTGTCAAAACCTAGGCTTAGGCAGGATAATTCTTTCAAATTTTGAGAACTGAGTTGCTAGACCATGAAGAATTTTGTAGATTTTTATTATTTTACTATTAAAATGTTAAATCTTGAAATCGGTTAATCATAAAGTAAAAACTAACCATATATTTATTTTTATACATTATATACACTTGAGAAATAAATAGTATTCTAAGCATTTAAAAAAGCATCATTATATACAAATAAGGCTTCAAGCCAAATGTATAAATACAGGACCCACTGAGGATTCGATTCCCAAGGCTTCCATTACAAAAGTAGAAGTAACCAGGATGCACAGTCAATAATACAAGCTCTACTTTGGCTAGAATGCAATCACAGAAGCAACAGAAAAGGCACACAATTGGATTGAGAAAACACCTTGAATTAAGGTATTTGACTGGTTATGTCTTCAGAGGTTTGGCACAGAACAATGACACAACCTTGGCACAATAGAGATTAAAACAACGTCCTTTAAAAACCTAAGTACAGAAAAAGTCGCTCTCCCCCTTTCTCACCTGACATCACATCTCCTTCCAAATCAATCTTATCCATAAAAATCCCAACCCTTGGCCCAGTTGTTCTCCCAGTTATATATTAATAAAAGAGTTTCGGGTTTCATGGATGGCTCTGAAAAAAATTCCTTGTTTGTTACATCTGGGGCATATTGGTGGGAAATGGCTATACGAGTCCTAATGAGGTAGCAGAGATGAGCATACCATGGGCATTGCCTCCAGGAAGTCTAGGTCCTCACCTGGCTCCTCCACCAACTTGGTATATAATTCTAGGCTTGTGCTGAACCTCACTAAGCTTCGGTTTTGTAAAATAGAGATAATAGTAACTGCCCTGCTCACCTCCTGTTGTGAGTCTCTAATTAAGTGATGCATGTTCAAATCTTTTGAAAATTATAAAAGGGTTCCTCAGATATCATGTATATTAATTCAAACCAAGATCTAGAATTAAGGGCTTTTTGAAGAAGTTCAGCACAGAAAGGGCACTTGTATTGGAACAAGATATTTCAAGAAGGAAAAAGCATGGCATTAATTCAATCTTGGTACCAGCTGTGTGTGACAGGTGCTGGTTTCTGTATGAACAGACATGTGTAACATATGTAATAGCCTCCAGCTTCCTACACAGAAGAGATTTTGCCAATCATATTCAGCAACTGGCACCATTCTGTCCCTAACATGTATAACACTCCGCTTGCCACTCTGCTGGTGATCAAAGATGTCACTCTTAAGGGAAATGCACTTTAACTAAGAAGAAATAGGTAGAAATCACTTAAAGCCTCAGGGTCCACAACTCTCACATCCTGTAGCCCTCCCAGTGCCCCTCATGCCTTTCATCACGTGCATATCCATGGATCATCTAAACGGGAAGAGAGCCTAGACATCCCAACCCCATTAGGTTTCAAATGAGAAGATGGTCTGCAAAGATTTACTAAGGTGTCTACTGCCATGTGCTAATTAAGTTTCAGTGCTTAATAAACATTTGTCCAATCAAAAAATGAGCAATGGAGGGGCTTCCCTGGTGGTGCAGTGGTTGAGAATCTGCCTGCTAATGCAGGGGACACGGGTTCGAGCCCTGGTCTGGGAGGATCCCACATGCCGCAGAGCAACTAGGCCCATGAGCCATGACTACTAAGCCTGCACGTCTGGAGTCTGTGCTCTGCAACAAGAGAGGCCGCGATAGTGAGAGGCCTGCGTACCGTGATGAAGAGTGGCCCCCGCTTGCCACAACTAGAGAAAGCCCTCGCACAGAAACGAAGACCAACACAGCCAAAATAAATAAATAAAAATTAATAAACTCCTACCCCCAACATCTTCTTAAAAAAAAAAAAAGAGCAATGGAAAAAGAAGAAAGCCAGTGATGTGTGCTTTGGAGAAGGAGCTGGGGAGCAGGACCGAATAAAATGTAACCAGTCCACGTCACCAGTTACCCATCGAGCCCCAAGAGCGAGGGCCGCCACACCTCCCCAGATCTACTCTCCCTCCCCCGGTGAACAAGGTCCCAGGTCTGCCATCCTGACACGAGTCAGCTCCCAGCAGCAAGACCCCTCACTATGACTCAAGTCAGGTCAGGCAGCTGACAGCCTTCCACGCAGAGTCACTCGGAGCCTGTGTTCCTTGTTGGGTGAAGCACCGGCTCATCCAGTCCTGAGAAGCCAGCCTGGTACGCATAGAGGCCAGGGCATCGGCCATTTGCACACAGATCTGGAGTTAGAGCTATCGTAGAGCAGCAGCGGGAACAGCAAGAACAGCAGGATGTGGTCTCCTCTGGAGAAAAGTCCCAGCCATCAATGGGAGGCACGGTGCTGGGCCCAGCAAGTGGGCTCCTCCCATTGCTCCAGGGTCAAGGCCAAGAAGGGTCTTTCCATCAGGTGGGTCCTCAGCAGTAACGTTCCTCCATGTGCTTGGAAATCAGGGAGTGGGGGGCCTTGCGGGGACCTTCAAGGATGCTCCGGGGTTGGGCTGAAAGGAACCACGTGGGAGTGGTGTTCATTAGCTGGCTTTGCAAACATGCAACTCTGTTTACCACAAGACCAAGCTTTCTTCCATACCTATCAGCCTCTTTTATTTGCTTCCCTTTCAGAATAAATGGAGAAAGTCCTGAATGCTCCCTCCTCCCCCTCCCCCAACAAGCCACAGATTCACTTTGAGAAACACCACACCGGAGCCTGCTCCGGGTTCCTAGTTCCATACACCTCAGTGTTGACATCTGCGTATTTAGCAGAATACTCACCCACAGCACGCACGTGTGCACACAAGCACACACACACACAAACACAACTTCGGGGAGAACTATAAAGTGCTCCTTTGCTTTGATCTAGAAACACAAGAGAGCCGGCAGTGTGGCGGGAAGGGGGCAAGGCAAAGTCAAGACATCTTGATTCTAGTCTCAGCTACAGTGATGTACTACTGAGCCTCTTGGAACCTCCGTCTCCTTCTCTGTGAACAGGTGAACGGTCTCCATGGCAGGAGAGAGAGTACTGACGGTGTAATATATGTCCAGGGATTCACCACTTCCTGGTGTTAATTTATTACTCGGGCTCCTATTGTTTTCTGTTCCTTTGAAGGCAAAGGAAAGGACCTGTTTTTTCAAAGAGGTATTCTGAGGCGAAGTATAACGTTCTCAACTATTATGAAGTTCTGGAGCGGAAAAGAAGTATATAAGAATAAGAATAGCAATCCTTCCTGGGTGTGTCCAATTTACATGGCTGTTCTGAGGATCAATGAAGTTAGTACATGTGGAAGCACTTGGAAAGGTATAAATTTGAATACAAACATAAAGAATTAAAATTATTACTATAGCAGAAAATCATATCCAGACTAGACCGAGTCACTTAATTAGATGGGCAGTTTTCAGAATCCCACAAGTCCTGTGATCGCCGAGCTTGTGGTCACGTCGATGCTCCTGAACAGGAGACAGAGCAGCCAGGGTGTAGCCCGGCCCTCCAGGCAGGCAGACAGTTAATCACAGTGGATCCCAGCACGGGCGTGGCTGCTTGATAATTGATACTCAGATTGAGGAGAGGTGACTTATCTGAGCAAGTGGAACCTCCATGCGTGAGAAAGAGCACAGGCTTTAGAGTAAACCAACCTGCTTCAAATCCTTACTCTGCCATCACCAAGGGGGGGACCTGGAAAGAGTGACCAAACCTCCCTGAGTCTCAGGTTCCCCAGCTGTTCACAGGGTTATGACACCAGCATCATGAGCTTGATGATCGAAGTAAATGAGATGATGTATGGAAGGCACTGACACAAGGTGCGCACACACTCCGTGCTCGGTGTAAGGCAGCAGCGTTATTATCTAGTACCTCTGATGGACCCAGGGGTAGGGGCTGGTGGGGGCCATCTCCCTGCTCCTCAGCAGGCATTTAGACTCAGAGGGTGTGTGACGGAGCCCCCTTTTGGGTGCACCCACTGCCTTATACCACGAGATCATCCTTCCTCAATTCTGAGATCATGAGACTTGCATGGAGCAAGGAGGACGCTGAAGCAAGCACATGAGCATTCCTGCTTCTCAAAAAGGGGGAGAATTGCCCACTAATATCCACTCACACCAACCTGGGTTCCAGAAAACCTTAAAGGGGGGCTATGCCTTATGCTTCTCCCTTACCTCCCACGCAACTCCCCACTCCAACCTGGTGCCCAGAAAGAAGCTGGGAGCCCTGGAACTTCCCACAGCCCCAGTCACTACAGAGAAGCTCCATCTAAGATGAGGACATGGGTACCAAGCTTGGGACTTAGTCACTGAAAGACCTCATTCCAGCAGGACCATGGCCGTGACACCTACAGGATGAAGCAGAGCAAGAGGCAAAGGGACTTTCACACCATCCAACATCCTACTCCTTCCAGCAGAAGGTCATCTTCATAAAGCAAGGGACTTTTATCTGTTTTTGTTGACTTATGTGTCCCAAGTGTCAGACACATGTCCAGCCTACACTAGGGGACCCATCAACATGCATTGCATGAACCTCTGAGAATGTCCTCCTTACCTGGTTTCATTTTTCATTCTCCAGCCATCTCGACACTTGTGAAACCAGAGCTCTTGGCCAGGGGATATGCGGGTGTTCTCAAGATCTTCTGCACAAAAAGTCAATCTAGGAGGAAAAAGAAACCACTGATGTAGCCAAAACTCTAGGGGAAGGTACATGGCTTGCACCAGCCATATGGTGCTCTCTGGACATGAGGCAGATGGAATAAGGAGAAAAGAGAAGCTTTTATCATGTGACCCCTGACTCAAGACCCTTCAGAACTCTCCACTGCTGCTACAAGCACACTGAAAGCGTCTCACTTTGATGTCTCCCATGATTCAGCTCATGCAGACTTTAATCACACCCCTTCCACCTTCTTCCTTCTGTCTATCCAAAAGCCTGTACCAAGGCATATCCTCTCTGAAGCCTCCCTGATTGCCCGAGACCTTATTAATCTAACCCTCAATTGACCTTCCAATTTCATAAATAGGCACATCCTTATATAAATGTTGCTTTTGTTATTGTCATTACTTCTTATGGCACGGAGTTAATAATGAAAGCTTTAGCTCATTTTAACACATTATATCTTGCCTTGAAGAGCTTGTGGATTCTTGCATCCATGGTGGACTATAAACTCCTTGAACGGAGGAACTCCAGGTCCCTCCAGCATGGTGTCCAGAAATACCCATTGACAAGTGTAACTGGAACTCAGCTGTGGGCTAATATCAAAGATTCAAGAAGTAGACAACCAAGATCACAGGAAGAATCCGTGATCTAATAATCGTTTCAACTGTAACTTACAGCCCAACCATGTGGGCTGCCGCAGCTTCAGTGGTGTGTGGACAGCATGACCTCATGACCAATAGACATGTGGTACACCTGACCGTGATGCTTACCAGCAGGACAAAAGCCACATTCCCAACACCTTTCAGAACCTTCACCAGGAAGCCCAAACAGCCCATAAACACCCACAACACTCACAATCAGGAAATACAAATGAAAACAACAGTTGGGGACCAATTCACACTCAACAGAATAGCAAAAATGTCCACCAAAGGTAGGTGAGGAGGAGGGGAAAAGGAAGCTCTTACTCCGTGGATAAGATTAAACATTGGTCCAACCACTTTGGAGAGGGATTTAATAATATCCCGTCCAGTTGGAGAATACATATACTATAACCCAGTGATTCAGCATGCCCCAAAGAAGCTCTCACACACGTACACAAGGAAAATGTCCCAGGATGTTCATCGCAGCACTATTTGTAACTGAAAAAAAGTAGCAACAACTTAAATATTCAGCAGAACAATGGTGAAACTATTGTTTGTGCAATGGCAGTTTACATACAGGAGTTGAATGTGAATAGACCAGATCTGTATGCATTGGATAAATCTCATAAACTATGTTAAATGGAGAAAAGCAACTTTTAAAGGAATGTGTCCACTCACGTAAACTTCAGAAGCAACCAAAACATTTCTGTAGGTTGTTTATGGATAAAACAGAAGTAGGGAAAGTATAAAAATCATGAAGAGGAAAACACACTGACATTAGTTAATGTTGGAAGATGGGTACATTTGGTTTGAAAGGGGAGGAGTCGGACGGGGGAGGGGCACAAAGGGGTTTCAGCTTTATCTGTAATGTTTTACTGTTTAAAATCTTATATCTGAAACCAATATGAAAATGGTTTACATTTATTAAGTCTCAGTGGTTTATTAAATTTGAAATATTTTATAAAAATGATCATCTTTCTGCTACCACACATCTTTCTGGTACAGGCTGCACTTATAAGCACTGAGAGAAGGAAAAAGACACGCAATTATCTAGATCACAGCCTTCATACTAACAGCTCCCCTCAGCTGGCACCCACCCCTGCCACATACACACCAGTGCACAGGTCTTCCGATCAGAATCACTCAGACAAGCAACTTAAGCCTCCACCCCCTGCATGGCCAAGCTGCACCATAGGTGGTGGATGGAAACGGGATGCATGAAGAACTGTAATGGAGAAAATGCCAGAAGAGATAGAAAGAAGGTGGAGGCTTCCTCCCACCATCCCAAGGCTGGCAGTGACCTCCCGGAGGTCTGCTGAAGGATTTGGCCAAGGAAACCCTCCTCTCTTGACAAAGGTCTTCCTGGCTGCTCCGAGAGTCAAGCCGCGTTTTAGCGGCTGATTTAGGGGTGGATTTTTTGTGTTAGGCTTGGTTAACAGATGTGGGGAAACTGCCAGCCGGCGTGGCACAGAGGAATCTGTTACTTGACGTTAGCGCCCCACGCATGTCCTTGAGTCAGAGCCTCCCAAAGAGCGGTATAATGCTCTGAAAATTGGATGCAAGGGAAGCCAGGACTCCCACAGACCTCATCCATGCAGGCTCCCTAAACTGGATAGTCTGGTTTGCTCTGGACAGGAGCAAGCAAAGGCTTTTGGTTGCACGGACCCCAGAGCAAACAAATTAACAAGGCAGCACTCCTAAAGAGCCCTGTCCAGGAGAAGCCCTCTTCCTCCGGGCCAGCACAGGGCTTGGCCAATGGAACAAGGGCTGGATTCCAGCCCCCGCTTGCCCACCCCTCTCAGCCCAGGGCCTGCGATCAGGGTACAAGCTGCACAACAGTGGACAGAGGCCTTGGTCTGGAATTCAGTTCTCCTCGCAAAGGGTTTGCAGTTTTGCCCATGTACTCTGGATACGGAAAGATGGAAGCTGTACGCTTAGCAAAGGAAAGGACGCTGCAGAGACGCACGCCTTCCGCTGACCACGGACCCAGAACAGGGAAAGGGTCGTGAGGCACTTACTTCCTCTGGGTTTCCCCGGACTTGACGCGGATGCGTCTGATATTCAGCTCTTGCTCGGACCTGCGGGGCTGAGACAGGTAGCTGCGAAGCTCTTTCCACAGGTTGTACCAGGACTGAGAAGTCCTCTCCCAGGTGAGTCTGATCTTCAGGAGGTCTCCCAAGTCCTCCTCGGTGTAGACCAGGAAGGTGTTGGTGGCATTCAGCTCGATCTGCTCCACTCTGCAAGGGGAGAGGGAAGCTGGTCTCAGTCCCCCCGCCACCTGGAAAACTGCAGCACCGTGGGGGTTGACGCAGTGGCAGCACCTGCCCCACTCGGATGGGAGAGAAATGCACAAGAGGTCCCCCCTACGTTCTCCACGTCCCACCAGCAGGACCGGGATGAAAACTCAGATGTGCTCCACACGGGCAGAGAGATAATGTTGCCCACCGCACCCCAAACCATTCCTGAGCATCTCCCCATCCATGCTACTTCCTGGGGGGACAAGACCAGGAAAGAACAGAAATGAGAAAGCGCAAAGAAGTCACATCCCCACTCGACAGCACCTCCTCCTCTCAGCCCACAGGCATCCATCTCCCTCGGAACTCTCAGCCCCTCCTGCCTGTCCCTCTCACGTGGCACTTGGGGGAGCTTGTCTCACCCCATGTGTGTGCATGAGTGTGTGCGTACAAGCCTGTTCCTCCTGCTAGAACCCCAGCCCTGAGAGTGAGTATTCTGATGACGTTACTTTGCAAGCCCAGCATTACTCAGCGTGGCGCTTTGCACCTTACAAGTGCTCAACGTATACAGATCACTGTGTGCCCCTCCCACAAATAATTAGAAACATGCCAGGGACGATGTTTATCAAGTTCCAAATTTCCTAAAGCCTCAGGAATCAGGCGTTCTCTGAAATGAAACAGCAGTTTCTGCCCAGCTGATCCAGCAGATTCTCACACTGCTGATTCATCCCAGGAGCTGCCCTTCCAGAAACGTTGTGAGTCAAGGGCTAGGTGGAGAGTGTGAAGCAGGAGAGGAACCACACAGCTCCTCCCTGGCACGCAGACGAGCTCCCCTGCAGTCGTTCACCTGGCACACAGAGAGCTCCTGCGCTCTCTCTCCTTTTCAAACCAATTCGTTCTCTGTCCTGAACTCAGCAAAGGAAACCCGTGACTTACATTTCCAAAGGCAGATTCTGGGAGTCTGCATTGGTGCCATAAATGGTGACATGAAAGGTGGGCTCAATTTCTCCCATGTTCTTGTAGCTGAAGACATGGATTTTCATCTGATAATGGTAAACTGCAGAGACAGCAGAACAGAGACATTTGTGAGCCTTGCTTGTCATCTTAGGGCACCCTGACCCAAACTGAGTCACCCAGCACAGTGAGTTTTTAGGGATTCTCATCCTTTGGGTCCAGCCCAGCCTCTAGCCTCCCTTTGATCTCATTCTGTCCAATGGCGTAAAAGGTCACTGCAGTATAGAAGAAGGAGCCTGAACTTTGGGTTTGGGGGACCTTTGGGGGATGCTGACCTAGGTACTTTCTAGATGTGTGACCTTGAATTAAGGACCAAGGTATTAACTTCTTGAGCCTCAAATTCCACCCACAATACCCACAAAACCTTACGGTTTTATAACATGCTATAAAAATGCGAGATATCATTTGGATCCACTGTTAGTCCTATCACAGATTATTCTGATGATCAAATGAGAAAACAAATACGAAACAGCTTTGAAAAGCTAAATGCAAGATAGAAACTTAAGATAGCGATATTGTGATCATAGAGTGGTGCTTCACATCACAAAAGGAGTCCCCATCATTTATTTTTAAAGATCTACTTTCCTAGGCATACACAATTTAATGTGATTTGCAGTTATTTGATTTAACTGCAGGAATGTGCCCGTCTACAATGTGGTATTTAGAAGGAGGAAAAAGGTCCTTCCCCAGGGCAATGCAGGTTTGGATGAAGGTTACCTCTGAAAGGCATGCCTGCCCGGGTTTTTAGGTACATTTTGCTATTCCTCTTGTTCCTCATTTTCTTGGCATTGTAGCCAATGCTATTACAACGGTTCTTCCGGCAACTGAGGCAGATCCCCTTTTTGAAGCGGTTGGAGTCCGTGCACTGGAATGCGAAGCTCGGCTTGTCCTGATTCACCAGAGAGTCGACAAAGAGGTGTACTGCCCGCTCATGCTCGCATCTCACCACCTCTGCAATTGCTGGGGGAGAGAGAGACGGAGACCATCAGGCTGAGCTGCTTCTCGGTGATCCGCCCACTCCATCAGTAAGTACTGTACACTTCATCAGAAATAACTGCTTTTCATGTCACTGTTAGTATGCTTGTTTGTGTCATTCTTTTATTTCTTTTCTTTTTTTTTTTTTTGCAGTATGCGGGCCTCTCACTGTTGTGGCCTCTCCCGTTGCGGAGCACAGGCTTCGGACACGTAGGCTCAGCGGCCGTGGCTCACAGGTCCAGCCGCTCCGCGGCATGAGGGATCTTCCCGGACCGGGGCACGAACCCGTGTCCCCTGCATCGGCAGGCGGACTCTCAACCACTGCGCCACCAGGGAAGCCCGTTTGTGTCATTCTTAATGCATGCCCAGTGATATACTGTCTTTAGAACTGAAAGCCAGTCCTGCCACCGGACTGCTTGCCCTCCAGGTGGGAAGACAGCACTGATACACATGAAGTAATAAAGAGCAAGAGAATGCATAGCACAGGCACTAAACAGGGTGATGGAGACCAGCTGTGCAGTAAGAGTCACTAAGTCCTGATAGAGTCATGCGGTCACAAAATGCTGGAAATGGATCAGATGCTAAACATCATCTAGTCCGGGGCTCAGCAAACTGCACCTTGCAGGCTGGCCCCATTTTACTAAAGTTTTATTGGAACATAGCCACATGCATTCATTTATCTATTGTCTCTGGCTGCCTCCATGCTACGGTAGCAGAGTAGAGTTGTTGAAACAGAGACAGTATGGTTTGCAAAGCCGGAAATATTTACTAGCTGACTCTTTAAGAAAATGTTTGCCAGGCTTCCGTGGTGGTGCAGTGGTTGAGAATCCACCTGCAAATGGATGGGACACAGGTTTGATCCCTGGTCCAGGAAGATCCCACATGTCACGGAGCAACAGAGCCCATGCGCCATAACTACTGAGCCTGCGCTCTAGAGCCAGTGCGCCACAACTACCGAGCCTGTGTGCTGCAACTAGAGAAAGCTCACAAGAGCAGCAACGAAGATCCAAAGCAGCCAAAAATAAATAAACAAAATAAATAAGTTTATAAAAAAAAAACTTAAAAGGAAAAAGGAAAGAAAATGTTTGCCAACCTCATTCTAGTCCAATACTTTCAGCTGTAGATTATGGGTCCAAATGCCCTTAGAGATGAAGTCATTTGCTCAGGGTCACAGAGTCAGTTGGTTGCAAAGCTAGGAGTATAATTTGGATTTTTGTGACCCGCAATAATCATTATTTCTTGTAACCAGAGGCTAAAGCCAATAGTTTCAGTAAATCCTTGGACCTTAAGAAAAATTTGGCAAAGCTCCCCTTCCCCTTCCTCATTAATTATCACCAGCCTTAAGAAATGCCATCATCTGATCCCCCCTGCAGGGCTGAACTCCCCTTGCATGAACCCCCAAGCCCCGCAGGGGCTCCTTGGATGTTATCACCTTGGGAGAGAGCAACTTAAGACTGAGTGACAGAGTGGACATCCCAAGAGCAGAGCATCACAGTGGAGAGAGCCAACTGGGGCCAAGACTTAGAAATGCTGCCAGGATGCAAGGCGGTGAGCAAATGAGAAACCAAGCACCTCAGTTTCAGCAGCAAACTCACTTCAGCCCAAGACTGCTGGGAATAGGCTTAGCATCCAGCAAGACAGATTATAAGTGAATGGAGGAAGAATCTTGAGTTTATTTCTTTAAAATGTTACCAAAAATTAAATGATAGTACATCCATGCTAAAGAATATTATACAGCCTTTTAAAAGAATAAGGTAAGTAGATATATGTACTCTGATGTCTAAGAATGTCCGTAATATATATTAGGACTGAAAAAGCAAAGTTGCAGAACAATGTGATTTTGAAAAATATCACACACACACACACAAATAAATTTGCAAAGCGATAAGAGTGGAAGGATACACACAACATGTTCATATTGGCTACCTCTGGAGAGTGAAAGTAGGAGTAGGTGTGGGAAATGAGGGGGTATTTTCACTTCTTGCTTTAGGCAATTTTATAATGCTTGATTATTTTCCCAACAAATATGTATTCCTTTTGTTATAAAAAGAAATTAATCAATAATAACTGTGACCTCAAAGCACAAGAAAGCAGAGCAGAGACCATGGGAAGGAGGAGACACGGGTTCGTGCCCCGGTCCGGGAAGATCCCACATGCCGCAGAGCGGCTGGGCCCGTGAGCCATGGCCGCTGAGCCTGCGCATCCGGAGCCTGTGCTCCGCAACGGGAGAGGCCACAGCGGTGAGAGGCCCGCGTACCGCAAAATAAATAATAATAATAAGGAACTCACTTCCATATGCAATTGACCCCAAGACATCGTTGAGTCCACAGCCCGGCTGGAAGTCACCTCCATTGGGGTAGATGTCAATGTGACCCACAGGCATCTGAATCCCAATGCTCAAGCCAAAGGAGCGCGTGTAGGTGTGCAGGACATCCACGAAGTCTGCGTCGTCAGGGGACAGCCTCCTGTGGATGTCAACCCCTTCAAACATGGGCCCAGCAGGATCCAAACCTACAGCAGAAGGGGGAGCCGAGACCAGCTGTGTCAGGTGCGCTAAGGCAGTGAGTCCTGGTGGGTAGCTAAGCCGGCAAGTGTAAAATGAAGACATCCCCACCCTGGGAATCCTAAAGGGTGTGGTGCCTGTTGCAGAGGAACGTATGCTTTCTTCTGAAGCCTTCACCTGTCCTGACAACTCAGCTGACTCAGTAAATTGGCCACGGGGTTCAAGTGACACGTGGATCTGAGGAACCGTGCACTGTCAGAACTGAAGCAGTTCTAGAGGCTTCCCTGGTGGCACAGTGGTTAAGAATCCGCCTGCGAGTGCAAGGAACACAGGTTTGATCCCTGGGCTGAGAAGATCCCAAATGCCACGGAGCAACAAAGCCCGTGAGCCACAACTACTGAGCCTGTGCTCTAGAGCCTGTGTGCCACAACTACTGAGCCCGTGTGCCACAGCTACCGAAGCCTGCATGCCTAGAGCCCGTGCTCCGAAACAAGAGAAGCCACCGCAATGAGAAGCCTGTGCACCACAACGAAGAGTAGCCCCCGCTCACAAAACTAGAGAATGCCTGCACGCAGCAACGAAGACCCAATGCAGCCAAAGATAAATACATTAAATTAATTAATTAAAAAGAAAAAAAAGAAGAACTGAAGCAGTTCTAGAAAGAACTTGGGCTGGCTGAAACTAAGCCATTCACTCCATTTATTCTGCCACTGGGAGCCTTCCACAGTCTTAATTTTAGCAGAATTTTGACAGAATAACGAAGCTACCTACATCTTCAAGAGGGAAGACTCAGTCTCCCCAAACTGAGCTATTTGTATTTGGACTTACACTTCCGCTTCCTTTAGTTATGAATCAGGCCCAGGAGTGGAATGGCAAGAGGGGGGCACACCAGGCACACTGAGCAGCCGTGTCTCAAGCCTCCAGAATTCCTCTCTTTTGCAGCCGCAAGGAGAAAACCTTTTGTCTGCAAACTTTCTGTATCAAACAAACAGCACTGCAGAGAGCACTGGTTCTCACATTTGAAACAGCACAAATATCTCTGGGGAGCTTCTTACAAATTTGGATTCCACCGTGTAGCTACGAAAAACTCTGGGAGCACGCACAAGCCCCAGGTCACCTGTGTGTATGTGTGTCAGGGGAGAAGGCAGGGTAGGCAACTGCAAAGACAGTGGCAGCAACAGAGACACTTTCACCATCTTGTAAAATAGTTTGGGAACCACATGAGTGTAAAACCTTTCAAAATAGAATTTGCAAAGCATAAAATGCAGATTCCCTGACCCCCAAGAGATTCTGATTGGTAGGTCCGGTGTAGAGCCCAGAAATAGAGGTTTATTCCCCAGCTGATCCTAAAAATAAGTGGTCTGTGGACCAGATTTTGGAAAAACTTCTCCATGCTTCAGTAGCATTTCGAAAATGAAATCTGAATGTCTTGATTCATACAGTTCTTGTGCGATATTAAGGAGTAAGGGCTTGTCAGGGTAATACTGGCTACTATTACCAAGCTTAAGTAATTATGGGAGCTGGATTCATCCCAACCTAGAGCCCTACAGGCACAGAGAGAGGACCTGGAGAAAGTTAAGAAAAGATTATGTGCAGCAGAGGAAGGGGGTTTGTTTAGTCTAGAACAGTGGTTCTCAACTAGGAGGGATTTTGCTCCCAAGGGGACACTTGGCAACCTCTGAGGCATTTTTGGTTGTCACAATTGGCGAAGAGGGAGAAAAGAAGCTGCTAGCATCCAGGGAGTAGAGGCCAGGGATTCTGATAAGCATCCTGCAATGCACAGGTCAGCTCCCACACGAGCATTATCTGGCCCCAAATATGAATAGTTGCTGAGGTTGAGAAACCTGGATCTAGAAACACCAAGGTAGGGAGGAGGTATGACCAAGAACAGAGCTGTGAAAGCAGCAGATGAGTAATAGAACAGTGTTTCCCAGACCCCAGTGCAGTGGAACAAGGGAGCACATCGTGAGGCTTGAGGGGGGTCATTTTAGGATAAACAAAAGGTAGAACTGTTGTCCAGAGCAGACAGTAAACCTGTGGAACTCACTACTCATGAGAACTGGTAATGATTAACACTCTGAAGTTGAGAAAAATGTATGAATGACAGAGGCAGAAAGGGAGCCCAGGCTGCCTGGGGGCTCATCTCTAGCCCAGGACCCAAAAGAAAGATGGTACGAAAACAGTGGCCTCCCGGAATAGCCCTCGATGACTCTTTTTAGGGACTGAACGGACGCAGTACTGACACAGGTGGCCTCTCCCTGCCTCTCACCATGTCCTCTGGAGAAAAAAAAAAAAGAAAGAAGAGGAACATTCTGCTTTGCAGCCAATAAGAGAGGGGCTCTTGTATCGGTGAACAAAAGTCTCCACCAGACAGTCAGTGCCATGGAAACCAAGCTGGGCTGGAGGAATGCAGGCGGCTGACGGGGCTTCTGGAAAGGCCGGCTGGCAGGCAGAGCTTTCACCTCCCCGGACTGACCCCGCCTGACACGTAGCTAGGGCCCACCGACTCTGGGGAAAAGTTTCACAATTTACTTCTTAACTAGGAATAGGAGGGTGAACGCATCCCCTCCAAAAACAAGAGATGATGGAGAACCACCTCTTCTTCCATTCAGTCAGACTCCCCGCAAAGTGTTCTGTCCAGCAAATGAAATATACACATGCATGCACACGCACACACACCCTGTCGTGCACATGTATACACACAGGAAAACCTCCACCTTCTGGCCTGGCAGGGCAGAGGCTGCTGCGCTGTAACAGCTACTGCATCTCTCCCAGCAGGAGAGCGGCAGCATTGTGCAGTGGTGAGGTGCAGACTCGAATCTGATGGCCTGCCTGGGTTTGAATCCCAGCTCTGCTACTCAGGGTGTGAGATATCATTAAAGTACATACTGAGTCCTATTTTCCCCATCTGTAAAATGAAGCCCAAGGACCCTTTTGCCTGGACGCTATGTGGCTTACATATGGCATAAAATACCTGTCACACATTGAGTGCTTGACATTAGGTAGCATCTAGCCCACAGCCTGCAGGGTGGACACTTAGTTCACATCTCTTGAATGAATGAACAGATCTGCTTGCTTATTTATTTATAACTAACAAAACACAAGTTCAATTAGAAATATATGACCTCTTCCCTAATATGTCACAGAACTCCCTCCGAAGCCTAAGAGGATAAAACTTTAGCAAACCTCAGTCCAGAGCTCTCTGGTCCAAGCAAGACTGGGGTTCAGGTACCTCCTGCAGGTCCAGGCTAAGGACCCCTGCTGGCCTCGGTACAGCGGCGTCACTGGCCTCTGCCCCACACGAGCTGCAGTTTCTGGTGCTCTTACCAGTCAGGACCACCTGGTTCCCAGACCCATGGGAAGTCTGAGGGGAGAGGAGAGGGCACAGGCCTCTCCCATCAGACATGCACAGCAGCATACGTCAGGTCAGCCAGATACCCTCTGAGGTGCTGCCTGGCAACTGGACGGAGGCCATTCCTTCCTGTTATGTTCACCCCGGTCCCCTGCTCCACAGAGAGGCCGCAGAAAAGGGGCTGTGCTCAGGACATGCCGGTCCCAGTGCTCTACGCAGACAGCCCAGAGCACTGATTAGCATTCTGCCAGCAAAGCCCGCATCTCAGCTGCTCCCACCCAGACAGGCAGGGGGAAAGAACTGGAACTCTCCTACTAGCCCCATCTCATTTCAGACTTAGAAAGAGGAAGAGGGAGGATCTGCAGCTTGTCTTTGTTGCCAAGGACACTGGCCCTGGTGCTCCGGCAGGGGCCTTGTGTGTGCTGCAGTTTGAGCACAGCTGGCCGAGCTCTGCAACATCTTGCCTCTTGCTGGGGGCTAGGAGGAGGTGCTCAGCCAATAGAACCCTGAGGGGCTTGAGGCCCAACGGCTTTGCTCCAGCGATGGGTTAATGAGCAGTCATGTGTGGCCACATTACCCGTTAGACAGGTCAGGCCCCGCATCTTGATAACCAAAAGTAAAGCTCTCAAGCTACGCTGAATCAAACAGTTGGATCTAAAGGAGTGTGTGTGTGTGTGCTCATTAGGCTTAAGCCCAGGGACAATGATTTAAGCAGGGCTACTAAACCTCACAAATGTATATATTTTTAAATCTGCCCCACTGGCTTGTTGTTGAAACCAGAAACTCTACCTCTACTAAATCATTCTTTAGCTAAGGACTCCCTTCTACCTGAACCCTGTTTTCAAACGAAAACATTGCCAGGAAGGAAACGATTAACTCTTTCCTTCTGGGTGGCCAGTTAGGCCCTTAGCATGTTGGAGGTGAGGGAGAAGCTGGGAGGGAAAACAAATAAAAGAATGCTAGCAGGGGGATAAAAATTCAGGGCAACAAATTTGCCATTAAGGACTTCCCTGGTGGCACAGTGGTTAAGAATCCACCTGTCAATGCAGGGAACTCAGGTTTCAGCCCTGGTCCGGGGAGATTCCACGTGCCGCAGAGCAACCAAGCCCACGCACCACAACTACTGAGCTCACATGCTGCAACTACTGAAGCCCGCGCACCTAGAGCCCATGCTCCGCAACAAGAGAAGCCACTGCAATGAGAAGCCCATGCACCGCAACGAAGAGTAGCCCCCACTCGCCGCAACTAGAGAAAGCCCACGTGCAGCAACGAAGACCCAAGGCGGCGAAAAATTAATTAATTTTAAAATAAATATATAATCTTAAAAAAAAAATTGCCATTAATTTTCTCCTAGAGGAAAGTATGTTTTTTGAGAGGGTCCCCAAATGGGGAAGAGAATCCTTTCCACTTTTCACTATCATTCAATGATTTAAATCAAACTCTCATATCAAAAGGTCACCAATTATTTGCCAAGGGGAAGGGGGCGAGGGAAGGATTGGGAATTTGGGATTAGCAATTGCAAACTGTTATATATAGGATGGATAAACAACAAGGTCCTACTGTATAGCACAGTGAACTGTACTCAATATCCCGTGATAAACCACAATGGAAAAGAATATGAAAAGAATATATACATGTATAACTGAATCACTTTGCTGTATAGCAGAAATTAACAAAACATTGTAAATCAACTACACTTCAATAAAATTTTAAAGAAAAAGCTCACCAATTCTGCCTATGGAATGTTTATCTCTCCAAATAAACTCGCTTTCACTTAAAAAAAAAAAAAAAAAGCTCACTAACGTGGAAAATTCAAATTTCTATCGACTACCTGGGTACCAATATCAGATAGAAAGGTCTCTTTAACGACAACATTTAACCACTCATTCTAAACAGGTAATTATCACTAATAAATATGCCAACTAAACATGGGAAAGAGGCTGTTAGTGGATGAAATAGAAACCAGAGGCAGAATTCAAACCACAGCCCATCTCTCATTCCTTTCCCTTGAGGTCCTGGCATTACCATGGGCAGAGACTAGAAGTGAGCACCAGAGGCTTGCAGGCCTGGGCTCCACCCCAGGTCTGCCCCTGAGTCTTAGCTCTTTGCCCCTGGGTGTTTCCTCACCTGTTGCACTAGACCTGGTTTTCAAACTGTGCTCCCTGGTGCTCTGGGACCCGGAAATTCCTCCAAAAAAGGTGGAGGCTCAAATAACAAGGTTAACACTACTTGCAAATACCCAGCTTTGACCAGAACACACCTTCTATCTGTTTCATACATTGGGGACCTGCACATGTTCAATTTGAAAAAGGGCTCTGAGACTTTTGGACATTTGAAAAGCCCTGGATTAGATGTTCTCCAGGTTTCTTCCAAGGCTAACCCTCTACGGCTCTCTCCTGCTGCCTCTTAGGGAGCACTCTGGTTCAGGAAAGCCTGGTGGGCAGAGCAGCTGAAGGAGCTCCAGGATCAGCCATGAGTGAAGGGAGCAACACTTACCCGTGATTCTGCCCACCGTGCCTTTCACGAAGTTGCCGGCATACCCGGCCACGTGAGCCCCAAGGCTGTAGCCGATCAAGTGAACATCCCCGAGAGAAAAATCCTCCTTCCCCTGCAGGAAGTCACAGAGGTGTGTGAGTGAAGAGTGTGGTCCTGAGCCCCAAGGCCACCAACAATTCAACAAGTCAATCACATTGGGGAGACGCGGGAGGGGGGAGGGGGTGGCAGTGTGGAGCTCAAAGCCACCGGGCTCACTGGAAACTAAGTGCCAGCCACAGCCTGCAGCAGGGTGACCCCTGCCCACCCTCTTATGCCCACGAGCTGCAGACCTCCTCATCCCAAACCTGCCTGGGACCCCAGAGTTGAAGCATCAGACCCTCACAGGGCACTCAGCAGTGGGGGTGAGGAGGTGGTGATTTGACCCCATGGCTCAGGAATCGAGCTCGACAAAACAACCCAGGTAGGGCTTTCCTGGTGGCGCAGTGGTTGAGAGTCCGCCTGCCGATGCAGGGGACACGGGTTCGTGCCCCGGTCTGGGAAGATCCCACATGCCGCGGAGCGGCTGGGCCCGTGAGCCATGGCCGCTGAGCCTGCGCGTCCGGAGCCTGTGCTCCGCAACGGGAGAGGCCACAACAGTGAGAGGCACCGCGTACCGCAAAAAAAAAAAAAACAACCCAGGTAGAGGACTAAGGACTGTTCAAGACTCCTGACCAGAATTCTGCCAAAATTATTCAGATTCCATCGGCTTCTAAAAGGAAGCTCAGGCTGTAATTACTCAAATAATAGGGTCACTTAGCCAGTGTACCAGCCAGTGTACCCCTGCATCCCATTAAGTCCACTGAGCTCAGGTAAATCATTAACCTATAAAAAGTAAATTTAAGACCTCAAGATCTGTTTTCCACATTTTATGCAAGGCACTAAGCTACATTGGTTTGAACCAACCCTCCGTACCCTCAGCCCAGCCACCCTTAAGAGGCCAGAGCAGACTTCAGTAGGTATTTAAGATTACAAGCTGGCTTCTGAGAGCATCAGCAATTAATGAACCAAAAGGCAAATTTTCTTCCCTCAAGTAAAGTAAAAGGAAAAATCCAGAAATGTGTCAATAATTAGAAAGCTTTCTAAAAGTCCCAGCTTCCAAATGTTTCAAGCAATACTTAATTCCGTAAAAAATTGGAAGCTCAAAGATATTCTCAGACTCCTGAAGTTCACTGAAACTGACCTGTCTGACCTGTATTTTTTTTTACAGTCTTAGAATTTTTTTAATAAATTTATTTATTTTTGGCTTCGTTGGGTCTTTGTTGCCGCGTGCGGGCTTTCTCTAGTTGCGGCGAGAGGGGTCTACTCTTCGTTGCAGTGTGCGGGCTTCTCATCGCAGTGGCTTCTCTTGTGGTAGAGCATGGGCTATAGGTGCATGGGCTTCAGTAGCTGTGGCCCACGGGCTTAATTGCTCCATGGCATGTGGGATCTTCCCGGACCAGAGCTCAAACCTGTGTCCCCTGAATTGGCAGGCAGATTCTTAACTACTGTGCCACCAGGGAAGCCCCTGACCTATATTTCTTAAAAGGGTTCAGGGTCCTGCTCATAAAAGGAGATGACTCCCTTTGGTCCCGTTACCTGCAGCCAGTTGAGCATCCTGGCGATGCTGTGTCCCACCTCCCTTGTATTGTTGACTGCGTCTGTGTAAAGCTGGTGAGCCAGCGGGAGCCAGTCCACCACCACGACGTTGGCTCCTTTCTCTCTTGTCTGCAGGGCTGACACGAGTTTGTACAGCCAGCTTTCAAACATGCCGCTCATCTGCAGAGAAAACGGGGCTTTTTTTAAAAATTTTTCTTCTGGGTTTCAGAAATCCTAATGAATATGGAATTCAGTTCCACGACCTTCTCCCCAGCCACTTCTGGAACCTTCACATTGACTACCCAGGCATCAAACACTTGCACATGAGCCGGGCCAGCCACAGGCAGGATTGGTACATGGGTGATTGTCTTCCATTGCGCTTGACATCTCCAGTTTTTCCCATCAAAGATGTCAGAGCTGGTGTCCTCTGCTGCTGCCCCACTGACCGATAGGCCCCCTATGAGATATAAGTTGGTGGCGATGCTGGCCTGAGGTTAACCCAAGTCCCTGTCACAGTCAGGCCAGTAAGTGGCCTGGTCCGTCATTCAAAGGCAGCTGAGAAGGGTTGCCCTGGAGAATTAGTTTCTTTCTCAGAGATGCAGGGAGATTCTGTCTCTTAGGCAAATGCAGAGTTAACAAATGACCCCTTCCCACAAGCCATCTCTGCCATCCTTCTTGACCCCAGAGTAGAGAAGATCTGTCCCTGGAATCCCAAATTAGAACTCAGAACACACTTTCCCACAGAAACAAAGTGTAAATGGTGACTAGGTCCAGCTATAAACCCATCCACAAGTACATTACTAGATAAACAAAATTTTCTGTGCCTGGCCTGGGAACACTAACGCCATTTACAATCTTGCTTCTATGGGAAACTGCTGTTCCAAGTTCCAAACAGATTATAAAAGAACTTTCTGGAATGCAACCCGTTTGTAAGTTGCAGGCAGTTTGTACTTGCATTTTGACAGGGGGCCTTATAAAGGTTCAAATGCATAATTCTAATCGTAGGCTGTGGGGTGAGGATGGATGGCAGGCCCTTCATCATCCCTCCAATTATATTAGGTAGGTAGGTGCCTACATACCACCCACCCCCACCAGGCCTGACCCCAACAGTTGGTGATAGACCTAAAGACCCAGAAAGCATGTAACGGATATGAATTTCTCATCATTAAGAGGAGGAATGTCCCCTCCCAATTAGCCCAGGCAGAAACCTGCTCACTTAATAGTGCCATTTTCCTACAGACTGCCATTAGATGAATGAATAAATCCCTCGCTGGTCAAAAGCTTCTGAGGCTGAGTGTTAAAGCCCTTTTTTGTTGAAGTTCGTCATGGGCTTTTCAATGTGAATTGCTCAGCTAGGTCATATAAAGACTCCAGCGCCTTTAAACGGAGCCATCTCTATGCAAACAGGAGGGCACCATGCCAACCAGGGCCAGCCAGCCAGGCCAGCTGCCTCCTCACAGACTCTCTGAGCCAGTCAAGTTGCTTCCGTTCAGCTCAGCTCTTACGGAGGGATGGCCCCCGCGACGCAGTGGTTGACCAATGTAATTAAGCATAATTAGAGGGCCCCTTAAGAGCCAGTGGAGCTGGGCTGCTGCCCTCAGGAGAGCCACTTTCTGAAAGCCTGCTGTGTGCCAGTGTTAAATACCGCCCTGCTGGAGTCCAGATTGCCCCCTTAGCAAAGTGCCCATTACATTCTTCACAGCTGTCTGAAATACAAGCAGCCCACAAGAAAAGAGGGGGAGACAGAGTGGAATCTGGAAGCACCAGTATTCTTTCTAATTGACCAAAACAAAGGAAACCAAATCTCCCGGAAAGCTGTAGAGCTCCCTCCCCCAGAGGCTCACCGTCCATCCATGAATGATGAAAAAGGTTTTGGCTGTCATGTTGAAGCCACAGTCTTCTAAGGGCTGGTTGTGGTCAAAGGAGAGGTAGCATCCTTCATGCTCTGGGTCCTCAGAGGTGCGGAGGTTAAATCTCACAGGGGGGTTGGCAGCAGCCGGTACAACCCTGGATTTGTTGAGCTCATCTGGGGAGAAATAACAGAGCAAGGGTATAACTAGCAGGCCTGGGTAGTGAGAGATCTAGGGTCTAGTTCTAATTCACTCTTGAGCAAATTACTTAACCCCACTGGGTTTCAGTTTTTACATCTGCTGAATGTTTCCTCCTCACCTCCCAGAAGAGTTGCGAAGATGTTATAAAAGGGACATCTCACCAGTATTTGAGTATTAATGAGTCACTAGGATCAATTACTATGAATCTGAAATAAGTCTCTCTTGCTTTTCTTTCTTCTTCCCCATCCAAACAAGTTCTCTTTCCTTCCCTCAAGTTACTAGTTTCAGAGTATGGGTCCTTAATTCTTGTCCTGAAATGCTTGGGACAAGTTGAGTTTCAGAATTCAGAAATTCTCAGATTTTAGAAAGGTATTATGGCATATATATATATATATATATATATATATATATATATATATATATATTATATAACACCCCCAGGGTCTGGGACATTCCCATTCATCAAATACACCAATAATATTTCTGCAGGGAAACACATAACTACTCACACTCGAGGGGAAAAAAAAAAAAAAAGATTCTAAATATCCTCTTATCGGTTCAGGTCAGTTTTTGCTGCCAAATGAGTAAGAGTTCAGGTCAGGTAAGGCCAGTTCTTGCTGCCAAACAAGTTACCAAACAAATTTTTCAATTTCCAAAGATTTTGGATTTTGGAATTGGAGGTAAGGAGCTGTTGACCTCTTATGCAATGGGCTTCCCTAATGCTCTCATCTCGATTTCAACACTTGCTCCAAAGACCTCATGCATCCTCAGTGCTCCTTGCAGTACCAGACATGTGCCAGACAGTCTTCTAGTTTGTTGAATAAATTAAATAAGTTATTGAAGCCATGGAGAAGCTCATAAGCGCAGCAAAACCTCTCTTTTCAGCTCCACCACACACACACAGTGCCGTCTAGGAGATGGCCCTACTACAAAACACAGCCCATGTCACTGATGGTCCCTATGGCCTTTTAACACTAGGTACTGTCATCACCACACTATTTCAGAAGGTCCTAAATGAGCCTCATCTAGCATTCTTCCAACCATCCAGGATACCATCCCTTGATAACAGGCTAGGAAATTAGAAAATCAAACTGTCCGGTCACCCAGAAATCAAGTGAAAAGGTACCGAATGACCATCCCAGGAGCTTCATTTATCCCAGAGTTAAAACACAAATGGAGTCATGGAAAGAGAGACCAGAGTGGTGGACAGGTTGGTGGTGAAGCGGACAAGGGGGAGGACAGCTATGCACCAGATGTAAAAAGGGTAAGGTTCCAGAAAATGCGACTAAATATGCATGAGCAGAACTTTGTCATTAAAGTAACGAACAAAAGCCCCAACTGACAGAAATTTGAACCACGCACATAACTCATTCAATATCTCCCAATTTCCACCCAGATAGCCACTCACAGAGACCAGGTGGGAAGTCCAGGAGAAAAGGAAAGGGAGTCTGCTGGCTTCCTGCCACCGACTTGTGGATAAACTCACAAACTGACATAAAAGGTTCACCTTAGCAGCTGGCTCTCTCTGACACCACAGTTCTCTAGCTCATTTCTACTACTTCCAGCCTGAGTCACTTCAGCCTCTGGAACTTCATGATCGTCCTTCATCCGGATGTCCTCAGACTCATTCTCTTACCTCCTTCAGCTCCTTGCTCAGGGGTCAGCTTCTCAGGGATGGAAGCCTGGTCCCAGGCTAACACTGCACCACCTTCTCCCACCAGCCCTCTGTACTCTCCTCCTCTGCTTTATTTTTTTCCATAACACTGAGCACTATTTATATATTTTAATTAGTTGACTAGCTGTCTTCCCACCGCTGAAATGTAAGATCCATGGGGGTAGGGGTTTACACCCATTTTGTTCACTGCTCTATCCCTCACTCCGAGAAGCATGCCTGGCAAATAAATACTGTTTCGAATGAACGAGATGGCCCCCAAATACTCAGAATCGCAGAACATAGAAGTTGGAAGGAATGTTGGCCCTTTACAGGGGAGGACCTAGAGATGCAACCCACCCGGGTTCAACCGCAGTAGAGCTGGGAACATGTTAAATAAAACAAGTTTTTTCCATTCATTCCAATTAACCTCCTGCGCGCACATAAGCAACGTGGACCAGCGTCATTTGACCCAAGCTCAGCAGAATAGTAGAAGATGAAATAATAGTGTGTGGCTCAGAGGTTCCCCGCTCTCCTCTGCTTAACTGATTGACTTGGTGCTCCCGCTGGGTGACCCTACCCTCGCCCCTCGGGGCAGGTTCCTCCAGTAGAAAAGACTGCCACGCAGAACTCAGAAGAAAAGCTGGCAGCTGGAAGGAGGAGGAGGACGGAGAGGTAGAAGAGGAAGAGCAAGGGCTGGAAAGACTTGGGGAAGAGGAGGCCGGCAACCCGGGGAATAAGCCCAGCAGCTTCTCTGCACAAATTACTCACCTAATACTCCCGGCAAGCACTACTCAAACCAGAGCCAGCTACCCTGATACCTTAACTTTCAAGACACCTACACCGAGATTAAAAGGAAGGGCACCAGGTGATAGAGCTCTAACAACCTTCTTGCCTCGAAAACCCCAGGTTCAAAGAGGAGGACAAGGTTAAACAGCTGCTGGCAGCCAACTCTGCTGACTGGACAGCACCGAGAGGAGAACCGTATAACGACAAGGGGGCGGGGCGAGAGCGAGCGCGGGCGAGCCTGCGGCCTCTTGGACGCCTGGCCGGGGATGTCCTCGTCGGAAGCGCCGAGGAACAAGTGATCTCCAAGGCTGATTAGGAGGACCCAATGGACAGCGCAGGGGGTAAGGAAGAAGAATGTCGCAGGATCGAGGAAGAAGGGTGCGCAAGACAGAGGGGAACTGGCACAGAAAAGAAGTTGTGGGGTGTTAATAAGAACAAGGACACGTTACCTTGCAGCCGACCCTCTGGACCAAGGGTTGCGGGACCTCCCGCGGCAAAGCAACAGTAAGCGCTCCAGAGGCAGAGCAGAAGACCGGAGTTTCTCATCCTTCCCGGCCACATCCCCTTCCCCCAAACGGGACTTTTAGAAAGACCACACAAAAAAAAGAGCCGCCTCTCGATGTTTCCAGCAGTCCGAGCCCGTAAGACCCGAGGTGGTAAGGCTTCTCTCGACCAGAGAGAGTGGTGGCCTTAGACAGCTGCAGGTGGAGAAGGTGGAAAATGAAAACTTGGCTAAACTGAGCCACGGGGTGGTGAGGGGAGTGCGAAGATGCTCCAACCAGAACCAGATCTGCCCTCACCCGTGCCGTTCTCCCGGGAAGCCAGGGCTCGCCACTGTCACACCGCGAGCTCCCCGGCGAGGTAGTTTTTTAAACTATTGGAGTCATCTGACCCATCGCCAGATGGTGATTTGCATAATTTATTCCCGTCCCCGGACTCTGATTGGTCACACCTTCTCTGACGCCCGAACCAAAGACTCCCCAAAGTTTGAATGAAAGCGCCGCACACCCACCGCGTGGACACTCTGCACGCGCCGCCTTGTCTCCTCCCCAGTCAGCTTCGCGGGCAGCCGCGCTCTTGCCACCCCACTTTTTCCTAGTGTCCACTCCCGGACCCTAGACTCTCCGCTCGCCCCTGCAGCCCCAGGAGGGTCCTTGCCCCAAAGCCCTGTTCCCGCCGCGCTTTCGATCGCTGCAGAAGGAAGGTTGTCCTCTCCAAGGCGCAAAGCCATCCCCGCGCCCGAAATGATCTCTCCTCGCCCCGGGCCAAGGGTACGGATGGAGGAAAGCCACCTGGTCACCCTGTGGTCTTTCTTTTCTCCCTTTCCTCCTGCGCTCCTGCCTAGCGAGGCCCGCGACAGGTGCAGACGGCGTGATCAGACAATAACCCGGCAGAGCGGAGGGGCTGCGGGCTGTGGCCTGGGCATCAGGATCGCTCAGACCCCTCTCGGAGTCCTCGCTCAGCCACTAGCTGCAAAACTCGCGGCAAGCCACCCAACTTCTCCAAGGCCTTTCCTTCGTCCCCAGTACGCGGGCGGTAACAGTTCCTGTCGCTTAGGGATGTGTGGGAAATTTAAAAACCTACTATAGTACAGCGCTCAGTGCGGCGCCTGCCGCGTGGTAGGCACTCTCACACCTGCGGGTGGAGGGCTAGAGGGATGCCAGGCGACACTCCCCAAAGGAAACAGTAAGCCAGGCTTGGGGATCTCGGGCGCGTAACCAGCGCCGAGAGTCGGCTGACGCGCGCAACTACTTATTGAGAGGAATTAGGCAGCTTCTTCCTCTCCCTCCCCATTTTTTCCTCCTCTCCTTCCCTTTATTGCGCGTGTCCCTGCTCCCCCCACGGGTGCCGGCTCCATCTCCGCCCGGGGGACCCCGGGACAGAGGACGGCGAGCGCCCCGACCTTGGCGGGGAGCCCGGGGCGCTAGGCCGGCAGCGGCCGGGACAGCTAGGGAGCGGCTGCGCCTTAACAGCCCTCAGGAACGCCGAGGAGGTGGGAGAGATACAAAGCGCCTCGGCGGGGCCGAGCACCGTCATCCCGCCTCCTTCCAGCCAGAACTGGCTCTCCCAGACTACACCTTTGACTGGGCGTAACCCCGCCGTCGCCAGAACCGGTCCCGCTCCTGCCTGGGGAGGAAAACGGCCCGAGCAGTCCCGCGCCCGTTCCTCCCTGGTGTCGGGGGGCCCCTCCTGGAAGATCTGTGTGGGGAAACCAGTCTGGAGGAGCAGGTCCTGTTCCAACCTATCCTCGTTACTTTTGTTACTCCAGCTGCCCAGCAAAGCATGCTTTGTCCCTCCTGTGTGCTATAATTCATTAACAAGAGGCAGGCCGGCTTTATTTTTTCAGTGTAAAACTCAATGTATTTTATGGGATGGTAAATGGCACCCCCGGATATGTTTTTCCCCTCCTCTTACCGCTCTCCTTCTCCACTGGCAAACTATACAGACATAAGTCAGGTATCGTCTCCATTTTACAGATGGGAAAACTGAGTCTCAGGAACAGGCTGCCGGTCTGAAGCAAGTCTGACAACCAGATCTCTCTCTTCTGCTCTCAGCTTGATTTAGCCAGTTGACCTCTAAATATGGGCCTTTGGGAGCCATGTCTCCATCTCTTCAGTGGTCCAGTCAGTAGATAACCTGTGAGTCAAAAATACCCTTATCTGGGGACTTCCCTGGTAGCACAGTGGTTAAGAATCCGCCTGCCAATGCAGAGGCCACGGGTTGGAGCCCGGCCCCAGAAGATCCCACAATGCCCAGAGCAACTAAGCCCTGTGTGCTACAGCTATTGAGCCTGCGCTCTAGAGCCTGCAAGCCACAAGTACTGAGCCCACGGGCCTAGAGCTCATGCTGCACAACAAGAGAAGCCACCACAATGAGAAGCCCGCACACTTCAAGGAAGAGGAGTCCCTGCTCCCTGCAGAAAGCTGGTGTGCAGCAATGAAGACCCAATGCAATCAAAAAACAAACAAAAAAAACCCCTCTCTGTTCTGAGTTACTCAAATCACAGTCCCTAGAACCTTAACTGGACAGTGTGGAGAGTGTGTCTTGGGGACCTCTGTCACAAGTGAGATCCCCTAGGAGAGCTTAGGTACTCCTACAAAGTTGGTTATCCTACCTGAAAAAAACGTAGATTCAACAAGATCAACACCCATCTTTTTTACATTTTATTGCTGGTTGGTTAGAGTGCCCTCCTGTGTCTTTATATTAAAACATCATGTGAGAACTTCCAAAGGACATTACGAAATTATAATCACAGTATTGAAGTAATGGATAACATCAACTGCCTGTTATGCAAAGCATAACATATGTATAAAATATGCAAAACATATTTTTCAGAAGAACCATGAGGAGATTTGGGGAGCGCCCAGTGTGGAGGAAGTCCCTGCCTGGGGAGTTTCAGCAGAAACTTCTGTTTGTGTCGCAGTCAAAACGTCAGGTCCTCAGGTTACTCTAGCAAAGGTTCTGGTCATTCTTTTAGGCAGTTTGTCATCTGAAGACACCTGCCTATGTTAGAGGAATGAATCTCCCTCTCATGAGAGGAGCCCACTTTCTACTTCAGAAGCCTCCCTTGCAGCTAGAGTTCCTGGTTTAAACTCAGCCAATCAAACCCTGAGGTGAAAGCAAGCGAGCCTGAAGGCACACAGCCACTCCACTCCACCAGCAGGGCAGCAGCACCCAGCTCTAGTTTTGGGGGGCAGCAGTGGCATCACCCGCAGACCAGTCTGCAGTGGGACTTGGGCAATGCAGTCTGCCTGAGTATACTTTCCAAGCCTGGTTCTTTTGCCCTGCAGATATTCTGATTGCTACCTATTATGTTTTTAATGAGTTCCTCTTCTGCATAAATGAGCCAAAGACTGTGTTGCTTATAACTAAGAAGATGATTTAATCCCTGATGCTTATTGAATGGCTACTGGAGTAAAACACTGAGCACCCCAAGGAATGTTCAGGAGGCCATCCGTGCTCTCACAGACATGATGTTGAAAGTGTGGTATGTAGGAGTTACCAGACATCTGGACCAGTGCTGTCCAATAGAAATATAATACAAACCACATGTCTTGGTCAGCTATAGCTGCCATAACAAAATATCATAGACTGGGTGGCTCAAACAACAAGAATTTATTTTCTCACAGTTTTCAGGGCTAAATGTCTGAGATTAGGATGCCAGCATGGTCAGGTTCTGATGAGAACCCTCTTCCTGTTTTGTAGATAGCTTCACTGTGTCCTCACATGGCGGGGAGAGGGAGAGCAAGCTCTCTGGTGTCTCTTCTTATAAAGGCACTAATCCCATCATTAGGGCCCCACCCTCAGGACCTCATCCAAACCTAATGGTCTTCCAAAGACTCCATCTCCGAATACCATCACATTTCGGGGTTAAGCCTTCAACATATGGATGGCAGTGAGGGAAGGGATGGTTGAAACACAATTCAGTCTAAGCACCAAATATGCGATTTTACCTTTTCTAGTAGCCACATAAAAAGGTAAAAAGAAACATGTGAAACTAATTTTTTAATAATTTTTTTGTTTAATGCAATATATCCAAAATATTATTACTTCTACATGTCATCAAAAAATTACTGAGACTATTTACATTCTTGTTTTGAAATCTGGTGTGTTTTTACACTTACAGCACATGTCAAATTGTATTAGCCACATATAAAGTGGTCAATAGCCACATGGAGCTAGTGGCTACCCTATTAGACAGCATACATAGATTTAGAGTGTTAAACCTAAAATAAATCTGAGACATCACTTAGTACAACCATCTCACTTTACAAATCGTGAACCTAAGACCCAACCAGATTGACTCACTTGCTCAAGGTCACACAGCTGGTAAAAAAGCAAAGATGGAACACAAATCCAAGTTTCTGATTCTAGGACTTCCTCTCCCTGTCTGAAGACAGAGAAGATGATGGAGAGCTGAGAGGACCAGACTTAGCGGAAAGTCTAGAATAAAAATCATACCACTGGTTCAAAAAAAGAAGGAAAAAACTAGCACAAACTGGACCCCTTCAAATATTTATTAAACCTCTGTCATAGGCCCAGCATTATGCTAAATGCTATAAGCAACTCAAAAAGAAATGGAAAATATAATTAAATGCACAGCGTACTCAAACTCCGCTTTCCAAGGTCAGAGAAGAGAAAAATATAAGTGAATCAAACTGATAGAAAAGACTATTAGGTGGAGATGGGACTTAAAAAGACTTTAAAGAATGAAAAGTCCTTAAGTCCCAACTCTTGGCTGGCACTTGGATCCCCCTGAGTGAAGTACTGACCACAAAGTTTGGAAAGGGAGTGCCAAAGCTCCAACAAGGGGGTAGCATTCCTCTGCTTACTCCGCTGTTAGTTCTGGGTGACAAGCAGGAGTTAAAGTCGCCAGACTCTTCTCTTGATAAATTCAGAGACCTGAGGTCTCCAACTCCTGAAGCTTATATCACTCAGAAGCAACATTTCCTCCAAAAGGAATAAGCTAGAGAAGCATTTCCCCATGTGGGCCTGGGATGGAATAAATATGGGAACACTGAGTTAAACAAGCTAAAACAGGCTTCTTCGCTGCAGGACTTCTCCGGACCTTTATTATACTTTAACCCTTCAGTGGCTTCAGGTTCGAGATTAAGACCCTTCAAATGGCCAACAACACCCTCCACGGACTGGCCCAGGCAAGAAGCACCACTCTGTCTCCCACCACCCTCCTCTCCTCTCTCTGCCTTCCTGCTACCCTGGCCTTGTCTTAGCTCCTTTATCTGCTCTGTCCAATCCAGTACCCACGGCCCCCTGAGCACTTGAAATGTGGCAAGTCTAAACTAAGTGTAAAATGCATACCAGATTGCAAAGACTTAAAACCAAAAAATATATTTAAAATACTGTATTCATAATTTGTATGTTGATTAAACGTAGAAATGACAATATCATGGATACAATGAGTTGGGTAAAATATATTACTAAAATTAATTTCACCTTTTTCTTTTTATATTTTTAATGATTGCTGGAGAATTTTTCATTCCATATGTGGCTCATATTATATTTCTAGTGAATGTTCTCAAGCATGAAGATTTGGCTTTTGACCTAGTTAATGCTAACTCTTACCAAATTTCAGCTATCTGCTTGTGTCCCTCCTTCAGAGAAACTTTTCCTGACCCCTGGCCTAGGTCTCCTATAAGAATGCTGCTTTCTTTTATAGAACTTACCTAGGTCTTTAATTAGACATTACTTGTTTGGTTATTTGATTAATATCTCTCTCCCTGTTGGTGTATAAGCTCCATGAAAGCAGCAACTGGATTTGGTTTTGCTTATTATTCTTTCTCCCAGAGCCCAGCATAAAACCTGGTGCATAGAAGGCTCATCAACTATTTGTTGAATGACTGCGTAAAGGAAATGTGTGATGAATCTCCAGGAAAGGGACAAAGTATTCAACTTTTGCTAAATTAAGTTAACCACAGAACCCTCACCCCACAAGGGGTTTAGTGAAGGATCAGAATTCCCCAGGAACACAGTTTGGGAGGCACTGGATTAGGGGTTGTAACTACAGAGAGAGTTAACTGAGCCGCGTTTAAAATCTCCATCTGCAGTACGACCTCAGCTCGCCTATGTGCTGAAGGTAGCTCTGGGCAGGTTTGTTTTGTTTTGTTTTATGTTTCCCTTCCTCTGCAAACCACAAGCTCCAATTCCTTGCATTCTTCCACTTAGAAGATATCTAAAGGAAGCTGAGTTATTCTTTATTCTTCATAAAGAGA